TGAGACGCTAGGAATCAACAAAGAAATCAACAAGGCAATAAGGTAAGTCCATTTTATTTCAAAACAAGACATTTTTTTTCTCTCTTTTAAGACAAAGTGATAACATCACATACAAACCTTTATAAATATAAAACGTTGGGCAACACGGTAAGAGTCCGCTTTTCTGCCAGTGAGCTTGGGCTGCCTGTGGCTTATGTCATAATGTTGGCCTTTTTGAGCGACTGCTACTTCAGATCAATATTCGCTTCTGCTTAAACACAATGGCTGTTTTTTCCTTGTGTTATAGAACTTATGGAAATAGAGTGAAAACGCAGTAATGACTTTTCAGTTACGTAAATTAATATTAGACAGCCGCAGGTGCCTTCAAAAGGGTTTTTATGCGCTTGCATGCTATAACCCTGGACCAAATCTCGCTTAGTGACCGAGCATCGACGAGCAGAAAAGCTTTTATCAAATATTTCTTGCAATTGGAAAACGCTAAGGATTCATCACCTCTTCTTGAAAGAAAAACCGAGGCAATGGGGAAAGCCACAGTTTGCATGCTGTTCTTACACTGTCTCTGCTAGAAAACGGTATGGCTGTACTTGTTCCGAAAAAAACTTTACACGATGTCAAATGGGAAATGGCAACAGCTTATTTATAGCCAATATTTCTGTGGCAGATATATTCTTCGCCATTCAAAATATTGCGCATGCGTATAACCATCTTTCTGTCATCACCATGGTAACTGCAAACCTGACAATCCTGGCTATCGCATTGATCGCCTTTGTGTGGTGTATTTTCTTCTCAGAAAATTTATCACAATGCCCCAAGTTTCAAGTAAATAGACCAGTCCACAACACCAGGAGATTGCGCGGGTTCTTTAACGTCCCCTGCTAACGAGTACAGAGATGCAGGATGCAGGAGACGGGGCCTACGGTTTTTAGTCGTTGTCCGAGAAGAATAGAATGTCTATCCATTTCTTGATATAATAGAAAGGTAGCACATTCCCCTCAGTTATTTTAAGACCATGAGTGTCGGTCCGCTCTGGGGCTCGAACCTTCGACCTCCCGCACGGCAGTCCGGCGCTCAACCACTTGAGTTAGTTCTATAAAAGTACACAGATGACGTCAATAAACAACAACAATAATAATAATGATAATAATAATAATAAAAATGATAAATAGTAGTGATAAAGAAGCAAACAGTTTTTAATGGTAACCGTCATCTCTTCTCCAATCGATCGTTAGTGAGAACCAATCACAGTGCTTGAGTAACTCAGCTTACTAGCTACTGTAGCAGAGAGGCATTTTGTCTGGGCATGCGTGAGTGGAATTGGTT